GTATATTTTCAGCCCTGTCTTCCGCTTTGAAACCAAGATCCTTGTTCAGACCATGCCGAAGGTTGTCTCCATCAAGGATGTATGACAGCTTTCCCTTGGAGTGCAGTTCTCTACTTACTGAGCATGCCAGTGTACTTTTCCCTGATTCCAGAAACAAGTTGAAGAAGGCATTTAGTAAATGCATAGACTGGAGTGAAAATGAAAGAAATTAAAGTTCTTGTGATTTTCCTCTTGTGTGTGAAGTGTTAGCTGACTTAGAGTTAGTCCAGAAGCCTTGGTGTGATGCAAAAGGCTGGTGTGTTCTGAGGCTTCTTCCAATCTCTCTCTTGGAATTGTCCAAGACATAATTGGTGTGATCGTAAAGTTTGAAATGAGTTCGGATCTCTCCTCTCTTCCTTTCCCTTACTCTGCCATACATTCATCACTCCCTCTTCTCTCATCTCTCTCCCCTCTTTGATTTTCTTCTTTTGGGCAGAAAATGATAAACAAAAACATTACCAAACTGGGCATTAGAATTTTAATCATTAAAAACATTTCTGAATATAATGAAAGTTAGAAATGCAGATATCGACCAATGGCTGGACCAGTGACCTACTTAGGGGTTCACATCCAATTGAAGCATGCAACTCTTATTGGCCCATATACTCACTACAGATAAAAAAGCCATCAGAACTTCTCCCTGCCTTGACAACATTCCATTAGTCCTCCTTTTGCAGCTCCTTAAGCTACAAAACTGCGCTTCTTTTTGTGGATTTGGACGTTCAGTCATTTGCCTCCATTGTACATTGCCGAACCATCTCTAACAACTTTCTCTCGTTACCTCCACCTTCTCGAGAAAGCATATTAAATTTCTTATTCAGTCTGATGATCTTCACTGGCTGGTCATTCCTTCAGCAACATGATTATAGATATGCTCATTCTATATACTTGCAGTTCGATGTTCAATTACCATAAAGCATATTGGTCTACTAGCTACATAGTTCCAATTTGTGCAGATTTTGAACACACCTAAATCACCACTTTCCACTTCATATGCACTACAATAAGCAATGCCCACTACGCTCACTGCTTACGGATTGATCAATCCAAAATAACCAACAGTATGTTTTCTCCGGTACCTTATACACTCCACACCTTGTTTTCTCCGGTACCATAAAGCATATTGGTCTACTAGCTACATAGTTCCAATTTGTGCAGATTTTGAACTACACCTAAATCACCACTTTCCACTTCATATGCACTACAATAAGCAATGCCCACTACGCTCACTGCTTACGGATTGATCAATCCAAAATAACCAACAGTATGTTTTCTCCGGTACCTTATACACTCCACACCTTATTTTCAACAAAAAGAATACTCTAACTCAGAACCTTATTTATTAAAGAGCACGAAACACATGCTCCCAAACGATGAAGAACATTAGCAGAATATTGTTTTTCTGACTATTCACGCTACTCTAAAAGGGATACTCTGACTTTCAGAGCCACAGAGTTGCCTCGTTAAGGAATAATGCCTCACATTTAAATTCTAAAGGTCCCTCCAGAGACATGATAAAGCTGGGAAGATTTATCAATCCATTCAAGCTATTGCAATACAATGTAAGCAATTCCATCTTATTACCGTAGTCTAGTACCAGTGACTAACCAATGGAAATGATAAATATCCAATGACAATAGATTTAGGACATCAAGAGGTGTTAATCCTTTCCACCATAGGAGCTAAGGAGGGAGGTTTAAATATGATCTAAACACATGTTAAGTCCACACACTTGCAATTAACCACGCTGAGAATTTTATGATCATACCAAATAATGGGTACAGATATCATATTAGCAAATTGCCATGACAGGCCAAAAACAAAATCCAGTCCCTTAACAGTGTTGTTGTACAAATGTCTGATGAAAATCATTAATGACGACAAAAAACCACAAAATAAAAAGATCATGTGGAAAGAAACGTAAGCTAATGAAAAGAAAGATTTATTCTCATGTATAGCTGTATTTGGTTCCATAAAAGAAAAAAAATAGATATGCAAGTTAGTTAAAAAAGAACCTGATCCACTGAGACCCGTAATCCATACAACACATCCCTTTTGGTTAAGTAGTTTCTGCCTTTCAACCTTCCCAACAGGACATTCTTGCCAAAATATATTTGTTGAATTGTTCAGAGTAGACATCAGATAATATTTTTCTGTTTCATTAAAACAATAAAATCATTGAAGGGAAACCAGAAATGTACTCAACACATTCAATATTTACAATGAGCAAAAAACAAAATCTTACTAACAAACACTTGTTTAAGTTACAATTTAACGTTTGAAAAAAAATAAAGGTTCTTCTAGATTTTGGATGAAGTAATGGTGATAAGTTCAGCTAATTGCAAAACAAAGTTAATGCAAGGAACGCCAATTGTGTCATAATTGATTGTTGGGTTCTTGCTTGCTTCATGGTAAATTTTATTTTAAACGAAAGTTACTAATAGCCTTGTAAGAATACAAAGTTGTTGACAAGTAGTCCACTACATTCAACAGAAAAGACATAATTTCCTATTAAAAAAACCCAACCAATAAATACAAAACCATGATGAAGCCTATTCAAATGCGGTCCTCCAAGCTGCTGCAACAAAGAAAGAGATATATCCTGAAACTCAGGCAAAAACCGAAGCCAAATGAAGTCCGAAATCTTACACTAGGACAAAGACTTTCCTCCTCGTCTCCTATATAAATTCATAAAAGCGTTTTGATTGCTCTATAGTGATGATGATCAACCTTTATTACTACTTTTTGCTTGTTAGACTTGGGAGTTACCGCTAACAGTGATAGATATCACAATGTAATCCAAACTCCTCACTCCAGGCCCCCAATATGCAAATTTTCTAAAATTTCATTTGAACAAGAAAATGACCAAACAATCAAATATTTCAAGAGCAACTGATTGTCTGTGAAAAAACCAATGTACCATTAACCAAAATCCATATTGAACAGCAAAAACAACAACAACAACAACATCAAAAGATCACGATCATAAGACCTTAACAGACAGAACCTACATTACAACCATATTAGAACTATAAATTCAGCAAGACCCATCTAGTAAACCAAGAAGCAGATAAAGATATATTGAAAGCGATGCACAATACCTGACAAGTGTTTGCTTATTTGCCCGAGAGAAGAACAAGATGGCCGAGGCTTGGGAGGGCCAAACCAAAAGCTAAAAGTGTTATACTAGAGAAGAGAGAGGAGGGCAAAGCCAAAAATAGAAGAAGCGAGGAGAAGAAGAAGGGCATGGAAATGGAAATGGCCACCCATGTCCCTGTTTTCAAGGCATCTTGTTTGGTTTTTGCTTTTTGGGTATTTTTGGGGCTCGGAATGAATCTGGACGCATCCTCCTCTTCCATTGCTAAATTTGCTACGACGTAGAAATCACTCACTCCCTCACAAATTTCCTGTTACCGCGTGCGATGCGACCGTTTGGCATTTATGTAGTAGTCAATGCTCCCACGAATAGTCGTCGGATGAAAGTGCCTTGCCTTCGCTGACGTGGTATTATCGTGGCGTTGGATCACTGGACAATTGGGTGAGTCAGTCGTCCACTTAGGCGATGTTGTTTTGTCAAGATGGTGATGTAGATTTTTCTAAGAAATTTCCGTCTCATTATGTTTTTTAAAATTATTTTTGTAATGAGAAGAGCTAATTTGCAATTTTTAACGTTTGAGAATGTGTCTCTCTCAACCAAGGTTTAAAATATCGAGAGTTTTGGAAATATCGATGGTCCAAAAACACGGATATATCAATGGAAATATTGAGGAAATATCGATATCGATAAAAATTGAATAAAAATCACGGAAATTGTGAGAAAAACTTGAAAATTTTTATTGTAACTTTAGAGGATGTTTATTTAGTCAATTATCTATTATTTTATCACAAAAAATTGGAATAAAATGTATGTCATGGTGGGTTTGAGTGATTTAAGTTGATTATGTAGCAACCTGACAAACACTGTGTCTTTAGAAAATATGTAGTAATTAGTGAAAGAAAATTAAATACATCACTTAGTATCACATATAATGAACAATATTAAAACTCAATAGCGAATAATAATACAACTCCATAATATATAGCCAAAAATAAAAAAAATACAACTCCATAATAAAATAATAAATAACATTAAACATATGCCTAAATTTATCATCAGGGATTTTTTTTTTCATGGAAATTTATCCTGGATAATATTAGCTTGCAGAAATTTTAAAGACCATATAAATATTAGGGAGTTTCACTAAAACACCCAAAATGGAGGTTGAAATTATAAAAAAACCCAACACCCAAAACACTTTATAAACACACCCAAAACTCATCATTACACACACTCAAAACCCATTTATAAACACCCCCAAAAAGTTGACTTTGAGGTTGATTTTGGGTGTGTTTCTATGTTTAAATAGTGCTTGGATTTTTTTATAAATACATGTCTAGGATTGGGTTTATTTATAAATTTGTATAAATATTACACGTCGTTACTTTATTACCAAACTCGTTTGTAGCATGTTGGATAAGGCTTAGTAGGAGGATTAGAGAGAGAGGGGTTCGAGTTCCCTTGTGCTCAAAACAGCAATTTCTCAACAATTTTCATTTATTTTTTAGTTTCATATCACAAAATATCGCCTCTGACATTATCGCTGATAATATCAGGCCAGTTTGACATTGCTGTGTTGTAAAAATAATTATACAAAATTAGTGAAAAACCCATTCCTAGACATGAAACTATAAATATACCATATATACCCTACACTATTTAATACATAGAAACACACCCAAAAAATACCCAAAACTCACACCTGTTACATTTTTTAGTTTAATTACTTAAATGAAATACCTTTATTACCCATTTAGTATTAAATTAGTTTTTTTGAAAAATTTTGGTCGCTCTCTCTCTCGTCTCTCTCCCTTCGCGGAAACCAGGCCAGCGATCTTGGTGCTCTGGCCATTGCCAGCAGTGAGAGCGGTTGGAAAAGGATCGGCCAAGGCCGACGATCAAGTCTGGGCTAAAGCCCAGCCACTCACGACGCCACTGCGAGCTCAGAAACGTCTGTGGATTTCGAGTTTTCCCATGTCGTTTCCGGCGACTCCGGCGATTGTTTCCGTCAATCGAGGTCTGAAACTTCATCTACTTTTCGTGCTCTAACTGTTTATGTATGTGGTTAGGATAAATTTTGGAGTTTTGGAAATTAATCAATACACCCTAGTTTGACCGACGACTTTGGCAGTGTTCCGGATTGCTCCGGCCACTTTTTGGCCGGGGTCTAAGACCAAAAATTACTCCCCTTCTTAGTGTAAATATGTTGGTATAGGTATTGTAAGGAGTTTTGGGAATTTTTAGCGATAGGTTACCATTTGACTTTGACAGTATACTTGGTATGTTGGTTTCAGACTCTATTCGGGGTTGTTGGAATGCTAGTAGAATATGTTTTCTGTAATAATGTTAATATGAGAACTTCAAGTGAGACAATCTGAGAGGAAGCAAATTTAACAGTAACTGTTGGCTTGTGCAATTTAGGTGCAAAGTAAACTTTTTTCTTAAATGCTTTTAGGCTTAAGAATATAATAGGGAAACAGAGAGAGCGATAGCTTATATTGAAAATTGGACCACTTTCTGAGCAATTTTATTATATGCTTAAGATTCTTTGCAGTTGATAACAATTGTTTTCTCTTTCTCACTCACCAAACTTTTTTTTTTTTTTCATAATCTATACACCAACTCTCTGAAGCAGATGAGGCAAGGTTAAAATTCTGTAATCTGTTTATTCCCTAATTGTATTGGACAACAAGTTTCTATCGCATGATTTACTTCATTTTCCCTTCGACTCTGCAGAGAGGAGTTCAAGTTTGAGAAAAACCAAGTCACAGATTTTCACAAACAAATCTGTAAGTTATCTTTTTTGTGTTGGCTTTATAGTATAATATATTGATCATTTTAGTTAAAATTGTATTCTGAAAGTAATTTTCTCTCTAGAATGACTATCTATTTGAATTTTGAATGTAAAAAATTGGGTATTTTAAAAAAAGGTTTAGATGCAAATATAAAAGGTTGGCAGGACTTGATTATTGCTTGAACATGATATATGTTGTACTTTAAACTATTATGATATGTACATAACTCATTACTACTCTTCTTAAATCAATGGTTTTCTTTTGTTTGGGGAACAGATTGCAGTGATGAAGTTCTTATGCCCTTCTTCTGCTTCTTAAAAGCATATCCCTTTACTGTAAATTCTTTCCTGTTTTTATTGTATTTCTAGTGCATTTTGTCTAACTAGTTACCATGCTTGGTATGTTGTTCTAGGCTTGTAAATTGAAATTGGGGGACCTGAAAGGAGCACTGTTAGACACCGACTTTGCAATGAAGGATGGAGAAGATAATGTTAAGGCTTTCTTTTGCCAAGGTCAGGTTAGTATCTTCTGTTTATGCATGTATGCCACTGTGGTCTTAAATCTGCTTAAAGTTGTATCACTCTTCACTTCCTGGTGTATTTAATTTCCAGTGTCTTATCCATGCAGTCTGCCTTTATTGTTATTTATGAAATTTGTGAATATTGCCTTCACTATTGTTGCTGGTTGTTAAGTTACTGATAGGAAGTTTATTGGATTGCGTCCTTATACTGTTCATACCCTGTAATTGAGTTAATTTCTATTACATAGTATTAACAGTGTACTTCTATTATATAGTATTAACAGATTTTCAGTAACGAGGCATGCTTTATATTTTGCTCATATAGTTGTGCACTTGAAGTTTATGATATGCATAATGTGATTTTCACTAGGAAGATAGTTATATGACATAGTATTAACAATGTACTTTTTTTCCTTCTTGTAGAGGGCCTTTGCGATTGCTTCTGGTGAAACTATGGAAAATTGGATGTCAACTCACATCGTGGTTTTTTTTTTCCCATTCAAACCTTCCCACAGGAAATCCCTCCTATGCTTCTCAATTCTACTGGCTACTCTGATAGGGATCCTGAAAAGGGACATATAGTAAATCAGAATACTACTCAACATTGGCTGAATCATTATAGTCTTCCCCCTTTGGATAAGCAGGCTCTCTTCCATTTTTGTAATCTATTCTCCATCTTTTCCAAAACGGGATCCCATAACTTGATTGCTCTGGGTTCCCACCTAGGGGAAGACCCCACTTTGCATCCCCAAGCCCCCACTTTGCATCCCCAAGCCTCTACTAGCTCATTCAACCACCCATCGTCAAGATTAATGCCAACTAGAGAACATTTCGATTTGTTGATTTTCATACCAGATGCGAAACAGAAAAATTCCAGAATATGAAGGAGATTATTCCAATACTCTTCTTTTATCCTCTATGAAAAAAATGGTATCGTCGGCAAATTGGAGATGAGATACCTTTACCATCTTGTGCCCCGAAAAAAGTCCATGAAACTGATCAGCAGCTTGAGCTTTCTCCATAATTCTGCTTAACACGTCTATCACCAAAATAAACAGGAAAGGGGAGAGCGAGTGTCCTTGTCTCAGGCCCTTTGAGCCCCAAAATTTACCCGTTGGTCTTCCATTAATCATCACAGAGAAATTAGCCATCTCAAGGCATCCTCGAATCTAACTTCTCCACTTGTCCCCAAAGCCTTTTCTAATCATAACCTCATCAACAAATCTCCATTCCACATGATCGTAGGCTTTCTCAAAGTCAATTTTGAACACTATTCCTAACTTGTTAAGCTTTCGACTTTTCTCCACCACCTCATTGGCAATCAAGGCCACATTCAAAATCTACCGACCTTTCACAAAAGCGCCCTGACAGCAAGATATAGTGCTGCCTAAAACTTCCCGCAATCTAGAAGCCAAAACTTTCGACACCATTTTGTACAGACTTGTCACCAGGTTGATAGGTAGGAAATCACTAACTTTAATGGATTCCTTCTTTTTGGGAATAAGGCAAATAAACATCTCATTTGTGATTGCATTGATTATGCCACAATTGAAGAAGTCCACCATGACTTTCATAAGATCCTCTTTCACAATATCCCAGTAAGACTGAAAAAGAAGCATGAACCTATCTGGTCCTGACGATTTATCTGTCCCACAATCAAAAACTGCCCTTTTAACCTCCTCCTCTTCAAAGGGTCTTTCCAGCCATTCAGCCTCCTCAACATTAATTGCATTCCAATTCAAACCTTTCAAACACCACCCTGCCTCTGTGTTGCTGCTATATAGATTTTTGAAGAAGTTAATGATCTCTAATTCTATTTCCCCATCATTGACAACCACGCCAGAGCCCTCTACTTCCAGCTTCTGAATAAAATTCCTTTTCCTTCTGCCGCTTGCTACGCGATGAAAAAACTTAGTGTTGTTGTCTCCATCTCTTACCTACTGAATTTTCCCCCTTTGTCTCCACTTCACCCCTTATTTGTGAACTAAATCACTCATCAAAAGGTATAAACCTTCCCTTTCTTTTCTTAAATTATTATCTAACCCACCCTGTCCTTCCATCAAATCAAGAGCAGCAATTCTAGCTTTCGCCTCTTTCTTTGCAGAGACCAAATCTCCAAAAACTTCTTTATTCCAGTCCTTCATTTTCTGTTTTAGAGTCCTCGACCTTCTAGAGAATTTGTAGCCTTCCCACCCGTTAATCTGATCATCCCCCCACCACTGCTTGACTTTCTTCTTAAATTCCAGGTGTTCTAGCCACATATTTTCAAAACGGAAAGGGCCAGGACCCTATTTCAAATTAGAAGTGTCCAACTGAATGGGACAGTGATCAGAAATAACTCTTGCCAGCGCCGTATGTTTAACCTGGGGGAAAGAATCTTCCCAAGCTTATGAACAGAGGAATATGTCAAGTCTTCTGCACACTACGTTTACTCTAAAATTAGACCATGTAAAGCTAGCGTTTAAGAGACGTGGGTCTCGCAGATTTGTGTCGTCGATACAATCATTAAAAAATTTCATACTACTTGTCATCCTTCCTCCGTTAGATTTCTCAGAGACAAACGTAACCACGTTGAAGTCCCCCCCAATACACCACTTGTTACCACATAAACCGAACAACCCCGCTAGTTCCTCCGAAACATCCAGAATTCTTATAGAAACAGAGAGTTCCTCAATTTCATAGTCAGAAATAGAGATAGTTTGATAATTCCACGTCACCACAGTCCCACCAGACATACCCCTTGAAGGGGCATATACCCACTCTTTGAATCTATACCCCCAAATACCAGCTGCAAGGCTTCTGTCAAAAACTTCTTTCTTCGTCTCCTGCAAAATAACAATATATGGATTTATACGTAACAACTGCTCCGTCACCACCACCCTTTTCCTTTTACTCCCGAGACCTCTCACATTCCAAGATATGATCTTCATTAATTTAACTTGGCCTCCCTCTTAAGCAAAGTAGACTGCACATTATCCACTTCCGGTTCGACCCTAGTTGAACACCGTTTCCCTTTCCTGCCAGATTCACCATTTGTTCAGCTAGATTTCAAGAGGCACCCAAGTGACAACTGCTTCCTAATTGGAACCATTGTGAGATTTAGCTCGGCCAAAATTCGAGAATGTTTCTTGTCACCCAGCCTCATTCTTCTGTTGTAACTCAGTGTTTCAGTTTTTTTAGTCATCTCCCCTACCATCCCTACACCACCTCCCCCCTCAATGCCTTGTGAAATCAAAGGCATAGCATCGTCGTTCCTTTCCATGCCTGGCACCTTATCATCGCCGTCATCATTGCATCCCCCAAGTTTTTTATCCAGCATCCCACCATGACCCTCCAAAACAATCCCTTCAGTTTGCCCAGTCAAAATTTCAGCGACAGACCCGTCGTCGCATTCAATTACATCAATTAACTCCTCCACATCAGATGGAAGGTTATCCTCCTCTATCATAACTGAAGCGATGAATCTTCCATCCACAGAATCACATGATTCATCACATTGTCTCGTTTCAGCCACAGTAGCAAACTCCCCTCCTTGTCTAGGTCGCATATCTTGCGTGAAGGAGATGCACCGTCTTCTAGATAGAGTCCTCCTTCCACTTAAAAAACTGAACTTGGATAAAAATATGATTTTTTGTTGAGCACGTCCGGCCATCTCCCATTAGTCGGGTTGACTTTCTGACGGGATCTTCTGGAAATTGGCGAAGTTCCGTAGTTGGCTCCATCTGTGGAGCCTGCGACATAGATAATCTGCTGATCCCACAGACCCCACTTTTGCATTCCAATGTTTTAGCCGCCATACTACAACAGTGATGCTTCTCGGTCCATTCGAAGTTATTCTTCCCGATGTGATTGCCCCGTTCTCCCTCCACGGAGGGAGGGAACAAAATTCCTTGGATTGGAAAGCCGCGTCGAACCGTCTTCGATGCATGGTTCCAACGGTTTCCGGCAACCCGCTATTTTAGGCGGAGGAAGTCGAGAAATGGTGGGCCTAATCGCAGGAGATAGAGGTTTGATCTTCACAAAATAGCTCTCTGATCCTTCATTGATAATCACAATCTCAGGAAGAAATCCCACGTGACTTTTCCTAGTTTTGATTCTTGCTTCGAACATATACTTGAAGTTTTCCGTCCTCTGGTCCAATTCAATTAGCCCCCCCCATATTCATTCCCTATATGTTCAAAGTAGTCTTTTCTCCACCAATGCATATGGAGACCAAAGACCCCAAGCCAACCACCATAGCTTACAATTTTAGGGATATTATTTTCCAGACCACGTTCCCAACTATATGAGAATATGTATGTTTGTCCCTCCACCGCCAATTTACCAATGCTACTGACTCTCATGACCTCCGCTTTACATTCACAAACGAAGAAAGCCTGTTAATTTGGTATGGAAATAGTTCAACATCTTTATCTAACATTCTTGTAAGGGCCATCCTAATATCACTCCAAGATTGATGTAGAACTTGCCTTTCACAGACCACCACTTCCCAACCGAAGTGTAGTTCTCAGTAACCGTTCTTTCTGGCCTAATCTCAATTTCAACTGCCTCCTTGTAAGTTTTGCCCGCCGCTCTACTCTACTGCTCGATGCAATACAATCAGCTTCGGCAGATAGGTTGACCCTATTTGAGTTGATTCTCCCTGTCAAAATGATCACTAAGTTTTCTTTCATTAAAGCCCATCCAATGTTGTTTCGGCCCTGAGGAACAACCACATACCTAACTACGCCATGTACGCACTTTATCGGTCACATATGAAGACCCTTCTCCACCCACACTTGATAAGAATCTCCCTTGTACTGTCGGAAAAATCTCTGTTCTTTATTTCCAAAAGCACCTGCAACTCTTCGACCAGCCAATTCACACATCTGAGCTCAAGATAGACATGGAAAAAATGCTCTCTAACCTTTTCTGTAATCAGGATTGACCTTGCATAGGAAAGATCATCTACCTTAATTCGGAATTCCTTTACTTCAACACTAAATAACCTGGGTAGATGTCTCACACTCACCGTTCCCCCTCCCTCTTTCTCTCTGTTTCTCTCTCTCTCTCTCTCTCTCATTCTCATATTTGACATCATTGCACAAGGATATATCCTCTTTGATACACCAATGAGGAGAAATGCATGCCCATGGTTGCTCACTTTTTCATGATCGACCTTCAGAGTAGCCTTGGCTTTCCAGATCATACTGTACAACTGAAAATCAAAGGTAGTGGCATTACTACATAAGTAAGTACAACTTACAAGAACGATTCCCTTCACACCTTCCTTGCATCCAAATTATCAAGTACCAACCTGAATCTTTAATATAGCATGCAATGAAGAAAGGTCCTTGTTCTCGAAATCATTTAAACTCAAACATTTGCTTTCCTAACAATCCAATCCATCGAATTGTCTCGAAGAAAGAAACATACTTCCATATTTCCCTAAGAATCGGATATTCCTCCATATACTGTTAAGTTGCTTCTTATAAACACACTCAAGGACACATTTAGTATCACTTTCAATAATAATCCATCTATCTCCCGTGGCTCTTGCCATCTTCACCCCAGCAAGAATCGCCTCCTCTTTAGCCTCATGTGGCGAAGATATTGACATAGTGATTGTTTCCCCTCTCATGAACACCCCTATGTCATCACAAGCCACAACTCTCACCCCTGTCAACAAGCTCTCCATTTTGCAAGCTGCATCAGAATTGGCCTTTAAAACGGTCTTTGGAAGGGCATGTGGGGCTCGAATAGCTTCCACCCTAGTGTTAACCCCACAAGATAGCACTGCATCTCTCCTTCCAAATCTCCCAGCAGATAATTCCAACAAAACACAATTTATCGATGCCAGAACTATTCTTATACAATAGAGACTGGATATCAAGTAGCCAAGAATCAAACTTGGTAATGTTATGGGCTGGAAGCTTGTAATTCAAAAGAGAATCGAACCAAATGCATTCCACCCACAGACACATCAAAAATGACAAGTGGGTAGGACACTTAGGATTTTTCTATAAAGATTGGCCTTCACACAGATAACATCAACCACCACTCTCTAAAGGAATTTTCTAATTTTTTGGACCACTTCCAAATTCCATATTGTATCCTAAACTCGTCTTTCCACTTGATGAAAGGAGTACTTAAGTACCAAGAGAGAAGTTGATCGTTCAGAAAAAGCTGAGTGGTACCCACTCTTGACTAGGTAGTAGCCTCCTCTTTCTTAAGGCCAAATAAGTTGGTCCGGTTCATCCATGTTACAAAGAGGAATAGCCTTAATGAAATATGCCTCAGCTTGAGATAAAAGGTGCTCAATACTTTGGAGCAACCAAGTATTCCCATCCCGGTCAATAATAGAGCTCACCATCGTTGGTGTGGGGCCATAATCAATATGAGATGGGGACGTGTGAGATTTATCCAATGGAGGAAGCCAGTTATGATACCATATCTGATGAGGGTCTCAAATGACATCTTTTTAATATTATTTTGGAGACTTTATGATCGAAATTTGGCTTAATAAAGATAATTTGACTTGTTGTTACATTTCATTCTCACCAATTGGATTTATGAATTTTCTATATTTAATTTGGTGAACTTATTAGGTGAATTTATCTTTTGTAGGAAGTTGGAAAGCCAAAAGATGAAGATATATATTTGTCCAAGTTCAAGCCAAGTGTGAAGAGAATTGCTCGCAAATTTTATTGAAGAATTGATTTTGAGATTATTGTGATTATAAAGAGAAGTAAATAGGGAGAAAAGAAGACAAAACCGTTGAAGCTAAAAGGCCTTTTTATGTCATTCATAGCCATTTAACCCCACTACCTCACCATTATTTCTTTTCCACTAACTCTCCACTATCAACACATGTTCAATCCAATTAATCCCTCACTTAAATTCTTCATTACCCACCATGAATGTATTAACTTTCCACTCACCTTATTGACTACTGTAAATCACCCATCAACTTATTTGGCAAGGACACCACTATGACAGATTTCTTTATCCATTTCATTCAAAATTTAGTTATGTTTTCCTTTGTAATGAGTTGCTAGAACTTTAGCTAAAGCTAAAGGGAATGTGTTTTGAGTTAGTTTATTGTTCTTTAATCCAATATACGGTATGAATTGCTAAATTCTTTTATTTTTGGTTGTTCAATATTTTCATATTCTTTTATTTTGATTGATGTTAAGTGCTACTATCTTTTCATGAGTTCAATTATATTTTTCTCATTGTTAAGAACTAACTTAAAATGCTTTTAAATTTTAAAAAATAAATATTAAGCAATTCCATTTTCTGAACAATCATTAATAAAAGATAACATTGAAAAATTAAATTGGTTTTAATTTCTTTATCTTCTGGTTAAAGTTTCTCAATGATAATTTTAATCGAGTTATAATTTGTATTAAAGAGCATGAAACACATTTTGCTTAAAGAATTGAACCTTGATGCCTTAACACTTCCATTATTGATATTTCATTTTTAATAAACTCAATCTCTACAACACTAAAATCAAATTACTTTTCCATTTTGCTTGTCAATTTTATTTTGGTACGTTTAATTATTTCTTTGTGTGCAGACATTTGTCTTCCTGCTCTTTGAGGATACCATACTTGAACTTCCAAGATTATTACTAAGTGTGACTACTTACACTTTTGTAGACGCAACAAAATCCAAACAGGGCTCCCATCTCCAATTTACCACTTAGACCCTTCAAAAAAATGTTTCCTACCCCTGAACAAGCTAATCTAGGCCCAAGATGAAAAATCAAAGTTTGGGAAATATTTTCTTTTGAAGTTTGTTTATGCTTGATTTTTGCACCACCAATTCAAATGTGCCTAAAACCTTTCAGCCCAACCTTTCTCAAGGATGGTTCTTTTGTCTTCGAGAACGCACTTATGTAGAACTTTCTTTTCCTTGTATTTTGGGGAGCAACGTTGTGCCATGGGCAATGGATGTTGACTTCCGTAAGGAGAAGACAAGAAAAGGTCACTAGAGGTGGTGGTAGGGCCACCAACCACCCTCCGATGCCTAAGTCAGATCTTTCCTAAAAGAAATATTATAAGTAGTATTCTTAAGTCGAGGGAAAGTTCTAGCTACCTATTTTTTTGAAAAGTATTGCTTTTTATATTAGGAAGGAGGAGCCCTCTTTTGTTCTCTTCTGATGTGATGACATAGCATTCTCGGATTGAGGGGTCGACGGGATTATGGCACGTGGTTGTTTCTGCTATGGGATCAACGCACCTTTTGGGATCAAGTCTGGTGGGCTTTGGTGCCAAGGTTTGGGCCTTCTCAAAGGCGTAGAACATGGTCTCATGCGTGAGTCCTTGGTGTCTGGTCATTTCATGGGCCTGGATGGCCTTGACTTGTCTCAATCGAGCTTGACCAATGTTATAGGAGGCCAATTCTGGGTTTAGAGGGGGCCAGTCACTTCCTCAAGTGAGCTGGGACTAAGTCCACTTTGGGTTCTTAAGGGTAGGCCTCAGAGACACTTCAGGTACAACAGAGAGGATTATTAAAAGTCTCAATATCTCGAAAGCCCAAACCCCTCACTTGTTTCAGAAG